CTGGGGGTGCTGAGCCTGGGGGTGTTGAGACTGGGGGTGCTGAGCCTAGGGGTGCTGAGTCTGGAGGTACTGAGACTGGGGGTGCTGAGTCTGGAGGTACTGAGACTGGGGGTGCTGAGCCTGGGGGTGCTGGGTCTGAGGGTACTGAGCCTGGCGTTGCTGAGTCTGGGGGTACTGAGCCTGGTTGTGTTGCAGTTGACTGTGAGGCGCCTGGAGGACCTCCCTCTTCGCAGCAGCTCCGTGAGTGGTACTCACGGTACTGCAGCCTCCGGCGGGGTGCGTCTCGGGCTCGTGGTGCTACTGGAGTTGGTACTCGTGTTTCCCCACCACGGCGGGAGCCGCCCTCTTCCCCACAGCTTCGAGAGTGGTACGCTCGGCACATCAGTCTCCGGAGTGGAGCTGCTGGTGCTGGGGTCCCCGGAGTTGACGCTGCTGCGGGTGCTGCGGACCCTGGTGCTGGAGGTGTTGCTGCTGCTGGCGGTGCTGCTGGAGGTGCTGCTCGTACTGAGGACCCTGCTGCTGGAGGTGCTGCTGCTGCTGCTGGAGTGGAGGACCCGGAGGGTGGAGCTTCTGCTGGTGCTGAGGACCCTGCCGCTGGAGCTTCTGCTGGTTCGAGAGTTGCTGCACGGCCACGGCCGTACTTCGTTCCGCTCCTTCAGCAGGTTCTTAGTCAGTGTCCTCCTCTCGCCTTAGAGTGTCCTCCGTCTGTCTAGTCACAGCCACAGTTACCGACTGCCTCCCCACTCCCTGTGCCTACTCCGTACACTGGTCCGACTGGAGGTCTAGCTGAGAGACGTGAGCCTGCTTCACGTCCTGTGTCCCCTGCGTCTCGTCGAGCGTCGCCTGTTTGTGTTGCTACCACTGCTAGTCGTGTCCAGCGTCAGCGTCCTCCTGCTGTCCCAGGCACTCACCAGATGGCGCTTCGTCAGTCCACTGCTCCGCAGCGTGTCCCTCTCCCGTCGCCTCCTGCGTCCTCTCTTCCTGCGCTTGCTGACCCGGAGTCAGACACCCTTCGCGCTGCCAGTCCTACTGTCACACGTCTCCTCGCTACGGTTGTCACTGACCCTTCCTTTGAGTCCGCTGCTGCGTCTGCCTTAGTCACTGAGCTTGTCGACTTTGCAGCTGCGTGTCGTCTAGACTACGCTGCGAGTCTTGTTGTTGAGTCTGAGTCTGTCTGTCCTCCGTCCGTCGGGGGTGAGTGTGCTCTTGGCACGGACGTTATTGAGGACAGGCAGGAGGAGGTTGGTTGCCTTGCCGCTGCTTTGCCCCATCTCGTGTCCATGCTCGTTGCCCCTGAGGGAGACCCGGATGCACCAGACATCCCGACCCCACGCTCTTGCGCAGAGGCGATGGCCGGTCCCTACTCCTCTCAGTGGCAGTCAGCCATGGACACAGAGATGGCTTCCTGGAAGTCCACTGGCACCTACGTCGACGAGGTTCCCCCACCTGGGGCGAACATCGTCAGTGGCATGTGGATTTTCAGGGTGAAGCGGCCGCCGGGCTCTCCGCCTGTCTTCAAGGCGCGTTACGTTGCACGAGGCTTCAGTCAGCGAGAGGGAGTTGACTTCTTCCAGACCTTCTCCCCGACCCCGAAGATGACCACTCTTCGGGTTCTGCTACACGTCGCCGCTCAGCGTGACTACGAGCTCCACTCTCTAGACTTCAGCACAACTTTCTTGCAGGGCAGCCTGCACGAGGAGATCTGGCTGCGCCGCCCACCTGGCTTCACTGGGTCGTTCCCTCCTGGTACCCAGTGGAGCCTCCGGCGGCCAGTCTACGGTCTCCGCCAGGCGCCACGTGAGTGGCACGACACACTGAGGACTACACTTGCGGCTCTTGGGTTCGCTCCTTCTACTGCTGACCCGTCGCTGTTTCTACGCACCGACCCCTCTGGGGGTCCGGTCATTGCGACCTCCTCCACCCTCCTTCCTTGTCCTGCTGTCCCGTCGGGCACACTGTCAGGTCTTCATCTCCCCTCGTTCTCTACGAACTTGGTGGCGGGTTGTGCGCTTCAGGATGGGGGTGTTCACCAGTTCACCCCTGCCTACGAGCGCGTGACACACTGCACGTGTGCTCGGACGGGCCGTCACCTGGCTACCTTCACTCGGCAGCCGGGGTCGGACCTGTACACAGTGACCACTTAGTCCCCTCAGGTAGACGACCAGGCTACTCAGCGGTCGTCCCAGGGTTACACCTTCAGTCTTGGCTCTGGCTCTGTCTCTTGGCGTTCTACTCGCTCTTCTTCTGTTCTCAGCTCCAGCTGTGAGGCTGAGATCTACGCCACGGCCATGGCTGCCCAGGAGCTTCGCTGGCTCACCTACCTGCTGACTGACCTTGGAGAGCAGCCTCGTTCTCCTCCAGTGCTGTACGTCGACAACAAGGCCACCATTGCCTTGTGTGGGGAGCACAGACTGGAGCACAGGACGAAGCACATTGCTCTGCGCTACTTTCTTGCTCGAGAGCTGCAGCAGCGAGGTCAGCTTTGTCTGCGTTACGTGGCCACTCGGGCCAACACTGCTGACGTGTTCACCAAGGCGCTTCAGCCTTGTGACCATCAGCGCTTCTGTACTGTTCTAGGCCTCGTGCCTACTGTCCCTCATTTGCTCACTTCTTGACTTTGCTTGTACAGTGATCTCTATATATATATACCTGCATGCTTACTCTTGCTAGGTTGTGATTACTGTATCTCTTGTTCTTTTATAAATCTGCATGTGAACTGGTCTTGTGACCGCTTGCTTGTGCTCGGAACTTGTGTGGTATCCTTGAGATCCACCCTGAGCTTTGTTTTGCTTTGACTGGTCTTGTGACCCCTTGTTCTCCCCCACTTTGCCTATGGGGGTGTGTCAAACATTGTATGATGTGCTTGTTTAGGCTACAGTGGGTTAGCCTATAGTGGGTACACATTTCTAGGGTTAGGTTTGACCTATTTGTACCCAACACTCATCCTAGTCATTCATTCTCGTTCCTGATTCTGACAGGCTCTGGGGGGGGAACACAGGGAGAAATGGCGTGAAGCCATGGACAAAGAACTTAAGGCACTGGAGGAGCGCAACACCTGGAAAATCGTTCCCATCGGCGTAGCACAAAACAAGACTATCCTTACCGGAAAATGGGTCTTCCGTGTGAAGACGAAAGCCGACGGCACCATCGACAAATTCAAAGCTCGCTGGGTCGTACGCGGCTTTGACCAGGAGCACGGAAGAGAGTACACCGAAACCTTCGCTCCGGTCAGCCGTCACACCTCACTCCGAATCCTCATCGCCGTCGCCGCCATGAAGAAAAAGAAATTGCGACAAATCGACGTCGCAAACGCATTTCTCTACGCACCTGTAGATGCAGAAATCTTCGTCGAGCTCCCGCATGGCTCCCACGACGAACCCAACCGAGTCTGTCAACTACTTAAATCGCTCTACGGGATCAAGCAGGCACCGCGACTGTGGCAGCAGTACCTACACGCCCGCCTCATCCGCATCGGTTTCAAACAACTCCCGCATGACCAGGGCATGTATCGCCTCACAAAGGGAAGCGACTACGTTCTCCTAATCGTCTACGTGGACGATCTCCTCTACATTGGGTCAACCGACGGCATCGCCACGTGGTTCGAAGGGGAGATTCAGAAAGACCTCACGCTCACGGTCTCTTCTACGGTTACGCAGTACCTCGGGCTCAACATCCGCGAGGAAGAAAATGCAATCTATCTAAGCGCCGAGAAGTACGCCGACACCATCGCGAAACGCTTCGGCCTCACACCAAGCGCCATCTCCACGCCTTACCGCTACACGTCAGGAACCGAAAAGGGACGATCTACTCTACTCAAGCCCGCCGGCATACGCGACTATCAGAAGAAGCTCGGATGTCTTCTCTTCGCAGCAGTCACATGCCGTCCCGACTTATCCTACTCCGCGAGCCAGCTCGCCACCTATCTCAAGAAGCCTGAAGCAGAGCATCTGGCGGAACTCGATCGCGCTCTCCACTATTTCGTCAGCACCGCGACGATTGGATTAACCTATCACAAAAACGCAACTACACCGACCAAGCTAATCGGCTACGTCGACGCCGATCACGCCGGCGACACCGATAACAGACGCTCACGCACCGGCTATGTCTACCGCCTCGAACCTATCGGTCCTATCTCCTGGCAGTCGAGTAAGCAGGAGTTAATCGCACTGTCTTCAGCTGAAGCGGAATATATTGCACTCTGCTCAGCCACCAAGGAGGGACTTTACCTTCGCGAACTACTGGAAGAAGCAAAGTTAGCCGAGTTACCCAGCTTCACCGTGTTCTGCAACAACCAGTCCGCAATTCGCATCGCCAACAAGAACGGCTTCGCAAACAAGACGAAACACATCGCCCTGCGCTATTTCTTCGTGAAGGACGAGATCGAAAAGGGGAAACTCGATCTGTCATACTGTCCAACATCTGAGATGGCAGCCGATTACTTGACCAAGAAGCTCGGAAAGCAGAAGTTCGAATACTGCATGATGCTGACTGGACAAGGCCACGTCACCTGCGGTGACACTCCAGAAGCGAAGGGGAGTGTTGGAAACAATAAGTCTTAGTGCGCTTCTGTCGTGTCAAAACCCAAGACACTAGCGAAGCAGTCCGAATCGAAACATCGAGTCAAACCTCGGAGGTTAGGGTAACCGCCTGGAGGTTACGAGAAAGTCAAAGGTCAGCGACCTTTGACTCGACAATTACAGCGCGACAGTTAAGGACACACAACTGACTCGTTACAGAGGAGTTGCCCGAGTCGCACTGTATCGAATCGCAACAGCAATACAGTTATCTATCTATTCGTATTCCCTGTACCCTTATATAAGACCTTGTATTTGCTTGTTTAATTTAATCTACTTTGCTCTCACACACCAGTGCAAGGTCGGTTCACAAGTTTCATTAAACGCTTCCGCTATTACAAGTTTCCTACCCAGAGTTATCCTCTGCAAAGATCCTTAAGGGCCTTCTCAGCCCAACAGTTCCAATACTTCCATTCCCGTTCCATAATGCCCCGGCTTCTGGCCTCACCGCATCTCGCCGCTTCTCACGCCGCGTCACCGCGATTTCCTCCTTCCCGAGTCTTCCAATCGCGCGCTTCGAATGCGTCAGGCGGATGTTTAGGCGGAAAATGGGCGGAAACTCTTACTCTCCGCCGCGACAATAGCTCGGGGGGCGACTGGGGAAACCGCGGAAGACAAGGGAGTGCGGAGAGCTATGCGGGGCGGAGTTGGGGGGAAGGGCGGAGCAGGCGGAGAGGGGTGTGTTGCTCAACGGGGACAGGGGGGAAGGGATTCGGAGGGGGACAGGGGACTGGGGAAAGCGCAGGCGGGGCGAAAGGGAGCAGTGCAGCCAAGAAGGACGAGAAGAAGCAAGAGAGCGGCGCGTTTGGCGGCTTGGACTGGAGAGAAGTGGCCCGCCCTGCTCCTCCCATGCTGGATCTGTCCAAACCACGGGTGAGAGCCACGTGCTTTTTGTGCTTTGGAGTTTGTGGTCTGAATCTCGCATTATAGGTGTGTGGGCTTGCCTGGGCTTTTCTGCCCTGGTCTTCCCTGGGATTTCTTAGGCCTCCTTGCCCTGGTGTAAAATGACTGCCAGGTTCTAATATTTTGCCGTTATTTCTTGTTTGATATTATCATAAAGCCTTTCGTGTCATCATTCCTTTCCGAATACGGTGCATGGCTGGCAGGTGTATTATTTCGCCCTCGCCAATGCCTACAGCCTCATGTAAGGCCTTGCCCTTGTCATCCTTCCTTCCCCCCTCCTACCTGACTCAAAATCCATTAGGTTGCTGTTGATTACTTGTCTCAGTCTCATGATTTTCCTCTGTAGCAATGGTTATATTTCGTTCATTGATTGCTCTGGCCTGCTCTGATCGCACGCCTGTCACCCACCGTTATAGCTTTTGTGCTGCATGAACCCATCCTCTCTCAGCACCTTCTCCTCTCTCCGTCTCCCTCTCTCACTCACTCCATCACTCTCTCTCTCTCCATCTCCCTTTGTCTCTCGCTCGGACTCCATCCGTCCCTCCTTCTCTCTGTCTCTCGCCTCCCATGCCTCCAGGGACAAGGGCGCGTTGCTAGAGGAGGTGCTAGCAGATGGCATCAGGAGAAGCCAAAGGTACACCCACCCACCAGCCTTTCCCGGTCGACCTGCCTTGTGGTAACTGCACTGCGTTCAACCCTAGAAGAGCCCTTTGGGACGTGAGAACAACTGCATGCTGATGTCCGGGAGAAGTAGCGCTGTCAGCACATGTTCATGTCCGCTGGTCCCCTCCCCCCCACATTCACACACACCATTCCGGTTTCCCACCTGCAACCCACTTTCTGTTCGCGCAGAGGTGGTCGCGCGCGTGACGTGTGGATGGTGATGGACCCGGCATTCCTGGACCATCCCTCGCTGGCATCACTCAGGGCGGCCATTCGCCCACCCACCGCTGCTATCGTCTCCACCAATGGCGACTGGATGCTTACCATTGTGCACGAAATGCTGCCACAGGTGCCTCTTTTTTCGTCTTCTTCTTTGCATGGGTGTATTGGATGCTTGTCGGCTGATGATTGTTTCAAAAAATCGTTTATAGAATGCAAGGGCTCAGGGGGGTGTTCTTTGTGCAGCATATCCACTGTTTTATTTTGTCAAGACAACACTGCATTTGCTCTTCATGTTTACCCTCCGTCCGTCCTGTGCTATCTCTCCAGGCTACCATCGGCAAGTTCTACGCCCCAACACCACAACTGCCTGACCCGCTCAAGTCCAAGCTCACTCCAGGGGACGTTGCCTTGGGTGGTGGAGGTATCTGGCACTGAGCTTGGCATTGTAGCTCACCAGGAGAGGGGATATTTGTGATTCTGGTGAAGTGCGGACAAGAATTGCTGTGCAGATGGCAGTGCATTTACTGGAGGTTTGCTGTAAAATCCTCCTGATCAACCCACCTGAAGTTGGGTAAACATGTCAACAAACTCTTAATCTAACTCCTGCAAAAATCTACCCTGCCTTCTTCATGCTTCTGCCCCATTCCAATCCTGGTTATTGTTAGGATGGTATGGCATGTCTGTTCACAGGTAGTAGTACGGTATGCCACTTTTGCACAATTGTCAATGCAAGTTAGACTTGCATATTGGCGCCCTGATCGGTAGCCCTAACTCCGACCTATTCCGAGTAGGCTACTGTCGCGTTGGCACGCTCGGAGGAGTCCACCGACAAATCGTGCCCGAATCGTACTCCGAGTAGTGAGGAGTTCTCCCCCAAAAAGCTGGAGTCAGGGGAGGCCTTCCTCGTCGCTCGAACACTAGCCCAAACACTAGACCTCGAAGGGTGAACCCACCAAAACCGCAAAAATGTTTTCTTTTTGCGGGGACAACCTCTTCAAACACCTTCAAAACTTCCCATTCCCCCCACTCCCACTGCACTCGTTGCATCCGCTCACTAATATTTTCTCGTCAAAGCACTATTTTACCTCACATCTCACGTTTCTCTCGAGTCGCGCTGACAGCCATAGTTCGACCCAGGCTTTTCAACCCTCCAGAATTTAAAATTCGTGGCGCCTTGCGGATAATAATCTCTCAACTCGATCGACTTTCGGCACAGAGTTACATAATTAGCGCAATTGTTTTTTTGGTGTCGCGAAACCTCTGCTCCTTGGCCGCGCCAACGTTTAGCTGGTCCTAAACGCCATAGTATGCTTTAAAGTATGTTTTCTACGTGTACGCCGAGTCATGGCACTACCTCCGTGCAAGGAAAGTGACATTGAAAGCACTTTATATACCGCCAATTATTTTATTTCCCTTCTACGTGTCATTCGCACCGCCTATGTATATTCACACACAGCCCTTAGGCTTCGCTGACCACGGTCACGCGGACGCCTTCATTCCGTCACGATATATTGTGCCTTCCACGCACTGATGCGAGCGTTTCCCGTTCCTTCGCGTGCTAAAGCGGACATCTCTCGCGTTCTTGATTCCATCCATTCCTCGATGCGTACCCCTCCTACCCCCGGTTCCGTTGCCTCTACAGGCCGTCCATCCCCCCTTCCTCTCTGCGTACCGCTGCCGGAATTCACGCTTTCCGTTCCTGCCTCATTCCGTGGTGCTCTGCTGCCACGCTAATTCTGTGCTCGGCGGTGAGTTGTTTGTGCGAAGCTGTGGATTTAGTTCCTCCCACGGTGCCGTTTGTTACGAATCTCCGAGATATACAGTCCGCGGCTCCGATTCATTGAGCGAATCAGTCGCTCTGGGCTGGCAGACGCAATGGATCTAGGCTCAGGCAGTAATACAATCGTCTCTCCCCTTCTGTGCCCATATGCCGCTGTGCCTCCGTGCCTCTGTTCCTTTGTGTCTCTGTTCGGCTGGCGATCTGTTCCTTTGTGCTTCTCTCCATGTGTGCCTTGTTCCTGTGTGCCTATCTTCCGTGGTACATCTGTCCCTTTGTGCCTCTCTTCCTTTTTGCTTCTCTTGGAGCCAAATCTCGTATGTTGCATACAATATTTCCAGACGCAATGGTATGCTTATCTCTTTCGTTATCTACTCAATTTTTATGTTCGTGTTCATTCCCTCCGTGCCATCAACCCCCAATCCCGTCGGCCACCTCAGCTGGTTCGCAAACTGCTGGAGGAGGGAGCTGACGTGGCGCTAGCATCATAACTAACCAGTCTAGAAGGAAACCCTCCGATTCTTGCTCTCCTCGGCCCACTCTCTTGTTCCTACCGAACATAAGATGAAGATGGCCTGTGAAGACCTGTTTCAAATGAACCGTTTTGCACCACCACCCACGCACCCCCAGTCAACCCCTTCCTTCCTCCGTCCCCTTGTCAGTTCGGCCGGCGCCTGATTCTTGACAACGGTGGTGAAGATGCTCCATGACCCGGCGAACCTGGGGTGGGGATGCCTTGAGAAGACATTTCTCAAACACACCCCTCTCCTCCCACGCCCAGGCTACGCTTAACCAATTCTTTCTCGTCCCCTTGTCAATTCTACTGGCGCCTGGCCCTTGACAACGTGGTGAAGACACGTGATGTGATGACTCGGCGAACCTGTGGCGAACATTCCCGCGTGAAGCCATGTGTCAAACGAACCTCGCCCCTGCCAACCCCTGTGTGTGTCCATCTCAGTTGGCCCGGCGCCTGGGTCTTGACAACGTGGTGAAGCTGCGCGAGGAGGATCAGGCGAGCATGTGGTGAGGATGACATGGAAATATGCTTGTTGAGTCATCCCTTCTCCACCCACTCCCACTCCGTGTGTGGCAGGCGAGCTAGACTTTTCCGAGGCTTTACACCAGCCAGCCCAGACCAGCTTTGGGTTTCTGCCGCGTGTGAATCCTGATTGCTGTGGAGGTCGAATCGCAAAATTCGCCACATAAGGTACGATTTCGCCAATGCCAAACTCTCGCAAACAATCTCAATCACATGGTCGCACACACCTGCTCCTTTCGCCAGGCTCGCCAAGGCCCCTTCCCAGGGCGAGACCAGGGGAGGGAAGGGGCGGGCTAGCGGAGCCATTTCCCCCACCCTAGTCTTTGCTACCTCCTCCCCTCGTTCGATACGTACGAGTGCGGGATTTCGATTCACAATGCCTGCATACAAACAGCATAGGTCAGCGAATCTTAAAGCTAGGCTCTTCCTGGTTTGGCAGAACAGATTTGAACCTAGTAGTGACCCATGTTTCTCGCACCAGACGTTCATGCAGATTTGGTTTCTCCTGCGCCGTTGCTGCATCACTTGTCGAACCTTGTGTCGTCGTGAGGACAGAAGCTCTTATGTCAAACACGCCGTCCTTCCTTGATTGCACTTGCATCACCTTGTCCTCCCTTGTATTGCTCCCCTCCCACCTGCGTTCATTTGTCCACTCATGAGCAGATCGCACATGGAAGGAGAGTGCTAGTCTACTTGGCAGATCTGGACCCACTCCGTTAGTACCTATCTACTCCGCTGATTCCTTTCCCTCGTGACGCTTCCCAAAGCCACAACTGAATTGCCTGCCGCTCCTTGCCACATAATCCGCTAGTTTCGGAGGCCTCTTTACCTTTGAATCAGCATGGCGGAGCTTCAGACGAGCATCGATAGTCTAACGGATGACCTTCTCCTTGCGATTCAGCGGCGGTCGTTCAAGCAACCTGATTCATGGGATTGCTACATTGGTAGCCTGTGGTCCCCCCCTTTCACTTCTTTCTTTGGCCACACTTATGATACAAGTAGATCAGATGCAGGTCTAAGATTCAATACGCCAATACCAGCCCCTCCTCCACACGCAGACGTGGCTCAGAGTCTCCTCATCGCATCTGTCTGCAGACGTTGGCGTCGCCTGGCGAAGGGTCACGTGACAGCTTTTGGTCAAGGAGGGCGCTCGTGTGTCTGTCGATGACCTCTCAGCCGCCGTCGCGTGCTTCCCCCACCTCACCCATCTGCATCTCAGCGACAACAGCGTTCAGACGCTCAACGACGCCTTTCTTAAACACCTCGCATTGTCATGCCCTTTGTTAACGACTCTCCACGTGGGAAGATCCTTTGCAGCGGACCCCAATGATTATCTCAGGTTTGAACATTATATTAGGAAGGAGGAGCATCCCATCTCTGCAGACGGATTGGATTTCTTTTTCCTGAAGCTCCCTAGCTTAGAGCAACTTTCCCTCTTCTGCCCTATCCAAACAGAAGAGCTGCCCGGATCCTTCTTTGATATGAGCAATCTCCGCACCCTTGTTCTCAGCAACAAACGGGCCTTGGAGAATCCCAATTTTGCAAAGCTTACAGCCCTGACCACCGTCTGCGTCACCTTTCCCTGGACTCTTATGCACCTGGCCACCCTCTTTAGCCTCCCTAATGTCACCCATCTAACCACCTTTGCCGCATACCAGGAGCATCAGCCCTCTGCAAGCATAGTGCTGCCGCCTTGCCTCAAGTCCCTCACTTTTGCGGTTTCTTGTCCTTCGTTTGACACCGTTTTTCCACCAGCATTGCCCTTAAATGGTCTCGAAGAGCTGCTCATTACCAAGTGCCAAGGGCTGACGAGCCTTCCTGACCGTATCGGTGTCCTGCTACCGTGCCTTCGCAAGCTCACAGTTCGCAAGTGTCGTTCTCTTGTCCTGCCTGAAAGCTTCGCGTCTCTCAGTTGTTTGGAAAGTCTTGTACTCTATGAGTGCGGTCTCTGTCTCTTACCCAGCAACTTCGGCGACCTACCAGCCCTCAAACTGCTGGTGCTGGAGGATTTGTCTGTCTTGGAACTTCCTCCTTCCTTCTGCCAGCTCACATCTCTCGAGTCACTCTTTCTAGCTGGATGCAACAAGCTTCGCCTGCTGCCAGCAGGTTTCAGCGGCCTCACAGCTCTCAAGAATTTCTGCATCGCCCATACCAGGGTTGCCTTGCCTGAAGACATAGGGGCCCTTACAAATATGGAGGCTCTCATGTTGGTTTATACTGATGAGCCCTTTCCTGCTTCATTCACAGAGCTCTCTTCCTTGACCAGCCTTGAGCTGGATGACTGCGGGTCAGATGTCCAGCTGCCGGAAGCCCTGGGGGAGCTGACGCCTCTGGTGGTCCGGTCATTGCGACCTCCTCCACTGTCCTTCCTTGTCCTGCGGTCCCGTCGGGCACGCTGTCAGGTCTCCACCTCCCCTCGTTCTCTACGAACCTGGTGGCAGGCTGTGCACTCCAGGACGGGGGGGTTCACCAGTTCACCCCTGCCTACGAGCGAGTGACACACTGCACGTGTGCTCGTACGGGCCGTCACTTGGCTACCTTCACTCGGCAGCCAGGGTCGGACCTGTACACATTGACCACTGAGTCCCCTCAGGTCGCTGCGTCTGCGTCTGCGTTTGCGTCAGCGTCAGGTCAGCTGTCTGCTCCCTGCTCGTGTCGCTCTCTGGCGCACGAGACCGTCCTCTGGCACCACCGCCTTGGCCACCCGTCTGTGCAGCGGCTTCGTGCCATGCACTCTAGGTACCTTGTCTCTGGTCTTCCCAGGGTCCTTCCTCCCCTCCCTCCCTCGCCTGCTCCTCCCTGCCTTCCCTGTGACGAGGGGCAGCAACGCGCCGCTCCTCACTCCTCCTCGTTTCCCCCGACGACTGCTCCTTTGCAGACGCTCCACATGGACGTGTGGGGCCCAGCCCGCGTCCGTGGTCAGGGTCAGGAGAGGTACTTCTTGATAGTTGTTGACGACTACTCGCGCTACACCACGGTCTTCCCCTTGCGCACCAAGGGTGAGGTCCCTGATGTTTTGATCCCTTGGATCCGCAGAGCCGGTCTTCAGCTGCACGAGCGTTTCCGCTCGGAGTTTCCTGTCCTGCGCTTGCACTCTGACAGAGGTGGCGAGTTCTCCTCCGACCTCTTGGCAGCCTACTGTGCTGAGCACGGCATTCGCCAGTCGTTCACGCTTCCGGCCTCTCCACAGCAGAATGGGGTTGCGGAGCGCCGCACTGGCCTGGTCATGAAGGTCTCTCGTACCTCCTTGATCCATGCGGCTGCCCCCCACTTTCTGTGGCCGTTTGCGGTCCGGTACGCTGCGCATCAGCTCAACCTCTGGCCCCGTGTCTTCTTGCCGGAGACCTCGCCCACACTGCTGTGGACGGGGGAGGTTGGCGATGCGTCACGCTTCCGTGTCTGGGGATCTCGAGCTTTTGTCCGCGATACGTCTGCGGACAAGCTCTCCTCCCGCGCTGTTCCCTGCGTCTTCCTTGGCTTTGTCCCCGACGCGTCTGGTTGGCAGTTCTACCACGCCACCTCGCGCCGGGTTCTGCCCTCTCAGAACGTCACTTTTGACGAGTCCGTTCCCTACTACCGCCTCTTCCCCTACCGCACTGCCCCGCTCCCTCCCCCGCCTCTCTTCCTCGCTCCAGGTGCTGCTGTCGTAGACCCCCTCCCCCCTCAGGGTGCCGCTCCCTCAGGTGTGTCTCAGGTAGACCCGGTTGAGCCTGTTGAGGTAGCTGTTAACTCTTGTCCTGCTGGGGGTGCTGAGCCTGGGGGTGCTGAGCCTGGGGGTGCTGGGCCTGGGGGTGCGGAGCCTGGGGGTGCTGAGCTTGGGGGTGCGGAGCCTGGGGGTGTGGAGCCTGGGGGTGCTTAGCCTGGGGGTGCAGAGCCTGGGGGTGCGGAGCCTGGGGGTGCTGAGCCTGAGGGTGCTGAGCCTGGGGGTGCGGAGTCTGGAGGTTCTGAGTCTGGGGGTGCTGAGTCTGGGAGTCCTACACCTGGAGGAGCCCTCTCCTCTGAGCAGCTGCATGAGTGGTACTTGCAGTACTGCAGCCTCCGGAGAGGTGCCTCTTGAGCCAGGCGTCCTGCTGGGACTGGTGCTGGTGCTTCCCCTCCTAGTCGGGAGCTCCCCTCTCTTGAGAGGATTCGTGAGTGGTACGAGCGGCGCTGCACTCTTCGGAGTGGCGCGCCTGGTCTCACGGACCCTGCTACTGGTGGTGCTGCTGGTGCTGCTGGAGGTGCTGTTGGTGCTGAGGACCTGGGCGTTGGAGCTACTACTGGTCCTGCAGACTCTAGTGCTGGCGGTGCTGCTGGTGCTGTTGGAGGTGCTCCTGGTGCTGAGGACCCGGGCGTTGGAGCTGCTGCTGCTGGCGGTGCTGCTGGTGCTGGAGGTGCTGCTGCTGCTGGCGGTGCTGCTGGCGCTGCTAGAGGTGCTGCTGGTGCTGAGGACCTGGGCGTTGGAGCTAAAACTGGTCCTGCGGACCCTGGTGCTGGCGGTGCTGCTGGTGCTGCTGGAGGTGCTGCTGGTGCTGCGGACCCGGGGGTTGGAGCTGCTGCTGGTGCTGCGGACCCTGGTGCTGGAGGTGCTGCTACTGCTGGCGGTGCTGCTGGTGCTGCTGGCGGTGCTCCTGGTGCTGCTGGAGGTGCTGCTGGAGCTGCGGGCCCGGGGGTTGGAGCCCCTGCTGGTGCTGAGGACCCTGACGCTGGTGTCGCTGCTGGTTCTGGAGTTGCTGCGCGGCCGCGACCGTACTTCGTTCCGCTCCTTCAGCAGGTTCTTGGTCAGCCTCCTCCTCCTTGTCCTCCTCCCGCTTAGAGTGTACGCCGTCTGTCCAGTCACAGCCACAGTTGCCACCTGCCTCCCCTCACCCCGGTCCTGCTCCTCACACTGGTCCGACTGGAGGTCTTACTGAGCGTCGTGAGCCTGAGTCACGTCCTGTGTCGCCTGCGTCTCGTCGAGCGTCGCCTGTTCGTGCTGCTTCCACTGGTCGTCGTGTCCAGCGTCAGCGTCCTCTTGCTGTCCCAGGCACTCACCAGATGGCGCTTCGTCAGTCCACTGCTCCGCAGCGTGTCCCTCTCCCGTCGCCTCCTGCGTCCTCTCTTCCTGCTCTTGCTGACCCGGCGTCAGACTCGCTTCGAGCTGCAAGTCCTACTGTCACCCATCTCTTGGCTACTGTTGTCACAGACCCTTCCTTTGAGTCTGCTGCTGCGTCTACCTTAGTTGCTGAGCTTGTCGACTTTGCTGCCGCGTGTCGTCTAGACTACGCCGCGATTCTTGTTGCTGAGTCTGAGTCTATCTGTACTCCGTCCGTCGGGGGTGAGTGTGCTCTTGGCACGGACGTCCTTGAGGACAGGCAGGAGGAGTTTGAGTGCTTTGCCGCCGCTTTGCCCCATCTCGTGTCCATGCTTGTTGCCCCTGAGGGAGACCCGGATGCTCTAGACATCCCGACCCCACGCTCTTACGCAGAGGCGATGGCCGGTCCCTACTCCTCTCAGTGGCAGTCAGCCATGGACGGAGAGATGGCTTCCTGGAAGTCCACAGGCACCTACGGCGACGAGGTTCCCCCACCTGGGGCGAACATCGTCAGTGGCATGTGGATTTTCAGGGTGAAGCGGCCGCCGGGTTCTCCGCCTGTCTTCAAGGCGCGGTACGTGGCTCGTGGCTTCAGTCAGCGGCAGGGAGTTGACTTCTTCCAGACCTTCTCCCCGACCCCGAAGATGACCACTCTTCGGGTTCTGCT